AGTTCTATTTATTTTAATGAAATGCCTACAAACACATAGATGCCTGGGGACAGTCACGATAGGACAACTCAAATGTCCAATGAAAAAAATCTCTTTGATAGATGAAACTCATAGACATCAACAAATGAACCGTTAATTGGGTTAAATATTTTTTTAATATTACAATCAGAACAAAACAAATATTCACACATGAAAATTACCTCATATGAAGATAAGAAAGCCTGAGATTATTTTCCATAAGATCTTATTGATCACATTTGGAAATAGAAACAAAGATAAGGAAATTATATGCCAGTAAAAGTCTCTACTGGTGAATCTGCTTATAAAGACTCCTTTGGTTTCATGTTGATAAACATTTTTGAATACAGTTGATCCTCCTTAAATAATTGAGAGGTGTAAATTCAGAGAACACCATTGTTGGTCTCAGTTCTCCTTGCCTTCTGGCTCCTCAACTTTTCAGCTCTCTAAATTGGATAGTCTCCTCTGGAAATTAAGGATTTCTACAGTTGCTGGTAAGTGATGCCTCTCCACATACTCTGCTTTCCGTCCAGTCAGCCCATTAAATGGGCTTAGAATTAGATCGCTTTGTAAACCTGGGATATGGTAGCCCAGGGACAAGGCAGTGACTTACTTTCACTTTAATAGTCTTGCAACCACAGCTGCCCCATGGGATGAATCCTGGGTGTCTGTGTAGTTCCTAGATCAAAGACAGCTCATGCAGTGAGTATTCTGACGCAGTCATCTAGGCTTAGCTTCTGGCGAGGATTCCTCTCTGAAATCCTGGGCAGTTGACCTGACTGGCCTGTTAGTTTCCTCCATGGAACAAGGGCAATGATAGATCCTGCTGTCCTGTCACCAGGCAGAATTTCTGTTGCAAAAAAACAGTTTACCAAGTTATATGAGCCACTACCAGATTTCTGGAAAAAAAAAATTCTATTTTAATGTCTTTTCTACTAGTTCCCTGCCTACCTGACAGGTTGCCCCAATTAAGAGTTTGCCATGTTAAAACAGAGTTTTTCCTGTGCTCTCTGGAACCCAAACTGCAGTTGAATCAGTCATCCTCTCTTTGGTCCCACACTTTCTCCCCAGTCCTTGGTGTTGAATCCAGTGTAAATTCCAGTCTCAATCTCCACTAAAGGCTCTTATTGCTCTAAGGTACCCATAATGCCAACTTAATTTTATAACAGTTGTCACAAAAAGACATGGAAAAAGTTCTAAATGTTAATTCCATATTCAAAAAATTTTTCATTGTATTTCTTTTATTCTATCAGGCTAAAGCAAAGGGGAGAAATGGTCATTATTTAACTTTCTTCATAATGATTGGATAATCATGATAGAATATGAAGTGAAAGAATGATAAAATAACTAGGACATAAAAAATGCAACCTTAAACTTTTTTCTAAGACTTCGTCTACATTGTTTGCAAATGTTTTGAAGTTAATTCATTTTCTGAAACATTGTATGACTTTTATTATAGTAATAGGGTTGGAAAGAAAAATTATCTCCTTTACTTCCCTAGGCACTAATTTTACTTTATAGGTACCACTACTGAAAATTTCTAATTTGGCTCTTCACTTGAGTGGGAATTCAGTGCACATAAGGGGCACATATGTAATTGGCAACCTAAATTTTCTGCTTTCATCAAATGGTGCAATGCCAAATCTTCATTGAACTTGCCAGTTAAATACACTTGGGAACCAAACAGCAGAAAGCATAAGAGATGAAAATGAACAAATTGGAAAGAGTCATTAACTTTCTGTTTTCCTATCACAACAAAAATTGTATCATGAAAATGCAGCAAAGTGGGAAATCCTACATGAAACATTAAACAATCATAAAAGAGAATAATTCATATACTTAACATCTGATATGTTGTTCATTATAATTTATAAATAGGGTTTCTAGTACAGATTTTTTCAACAAAATATGAAATAGTTAAAATGAACCAACTTTTCAGAAATGTATTTTAGGTTACATATTTCCATATGTCTTACTGGTTGACTATATGAATTTATTTGGCAAGCAAAATTGTTATAAAATTAAGCAAGAAACGTTGGCTTTATTTAATACTTTAATAAATAAAAGCAATTGACAAATTTTCATGGTTCTCACTAAATTATGAATCCAGTTGAGAGTGTGAAAATTACAATCAGTTGTGGCTACCAAAACTGCCTTTGAAATATCTGGCCTAATGCATAATTTTGAACTATACAGAGTCATTATAAATTGTCATTATTGGTGACAAATGAATAGGAAACTGAAATAATAAAAGCACCAAATACTTGATTGAGCATCGTCCTTAAAAGAGAAAACCGTTTTTTCTTAAATGCCTATTTTTAGCTCTTAAATAAACCATATACTTGTTTCCTAGGTTCAAAGTTCAGATTAGGACTATCTCTTTTACAAAATATCCTTTTGCAGTGATAGCAGGATTCCTTTTGTAAGGACTTTGGGGGAAAGTTTCCTAACTTTTTTCATCTACAAATCTAAGTAGTAAAGGCTTTTTAAATCCTTGTGCTTGTTGTGCTCAACTGTGTCCGATTCTTTGCTGCCCCATGGACTGTAGCCCACAAGGCTCCTCTGCCCATGGAATTTTCCAGGGAAGAACACTGGAGTGGGTTGCCATTTCCTACTCCAGGAGATCTTCCCGACCCAGGGATCGAACCCGCTTCTCTTGCATCTCCTGCATTGGCAGGTGGATTCTTTACCAGCAGTGCCACCTGGGAAACCCTAAAACAAAAAGGACATTTTTTTGTAAACTGTTATTGCACTAGAAAAAAGGAGAGAAGCAGAAGGAAAATGATGAGAGACTGTGGATCAGCTAATCTCACAGTTACTGAAAGCTATAAAGAAACTGTAAGACTTAACTAAGGCAGGTGTTCTGGAGGGAGGTGGTGTGGACGGCAGTGTAAGGCAGAGTTCCCGCTGCAACATTCAATTTGTATATGACCAAAGGTTAACTACCTACCCTCCCCAAACCTGATTTTCCTGATCTATGTAATTGAAGGAAGGGTAATAGGTTTTTCACAGGGCCTACACACATTAAATGTCAATGACCTTTGTTAGTATATCTGTTTAACAATGCTTGATCAAAGGAGCTCTCATGCCCTGGATTTTTATGTTATTGATATATTTATCTACTTGCCCCAACTTTGCTGCCCTTTCTTGATTATATGCTTCAGCCACTTTTAAACTCTTTGTATGAGACATGGGAGAATTAGGGAAAAAGAAAATTGATGGTAAAGGTAAAATAAATGGAGAGTATATTATAAGCCAGCATACTCCAAAAACCCAAGGATGTAGCAATGGCCATGTTGTTGTTGGTTAGTCATTAAATCATGTCAGACTCTTTGATACCTGATGGACTATAGCCTGGCAGGCTCCTCTGCCCACGGTCATATCTACTAATAAAGAGAGAAGATATAATAACCAAGTTGTCAAATGTAGCCTTCTAGATGCTCTTAAGTTCCTTGTGGCACATTTATGAGAAAAAGTTTCCCACGGTTGTCACCCCAAAGCGAGGTTGTCCCCATATCAAAATACACATCGACCACTAATACTCATTCAAAAAGTACAATTTGCTTTTACACTCAATATATCCACATTTCACAAGTCAGAGTGTGACCAAATTATTTATAATGTGTACGTGTACACACACACACACACACACACACACACTCTTGAAAGAAGCATAGATTGCTTGATTCTTGGAAGCAGTTTGCCAATATAGTAGAGAACCAGATCACAAAATCATGTGATCTGAGCAGGAGTCTAGTTAGAGCATAAGGAAGGTGATGTCAGGTGTACAGACTTAACACTGGGGATGTATCTGCTATCTAGAAATAGTCCTACAAGCCACCAGAATTGGCTAAAAAAATGTTTCCAATACACACACACAGAGTTAAATGCATTCCCTCTGCTGTATTGCCTGCTAAAGACATAAATATACAGGAGTGGAGATAAAGAGGGATGAATGGGAGAGTTCAGGACCCAGGGCAAATCTAAAAGGAAATGAGGCAGTGCAATAGGAGAGAGGATCAGGGGAAAATAAATTAGGTAAGCAACAGCATCATGCATCAGAAGTCTTCTCCATCACTAAACTGGCAACATTTCTCCAGAGGGCCATCAGTCAAATGATGTCAAAATGGTAACTGGTTCTGTTTGTAATCCCCGTGTTGTCAAGGACCATCTGTGTAACAACACAAGTTCCACTCCAGGTCACAGTCCCAATGCTTTCATTATCCTACAGAAGAGTTGATGACTGTAAATATTTGCTGGGAGGTATCATGGGCTTAGAGAAAGGAAATCAGGTTTCTTTCCTTGCTGTCTTTGAGGCAGAGACGTGTCAAAATGTGAATAGGCTGTGTGAGAAGGAAAAGGGGAAGAACCTCAATTTCTCCCTTGAAAGGGGGAAGAGAAATAAGATTACATCGGTGGTTTGGAGAGAAAATATTGAGTGCATTCTCAGTATTAACGCATCCTCTTCGCAGAGCTTCAGATTTCCTGCCTTCCCCAGTTTTGACCTGCCAGTGCACTCGGACTCTTGGCATGCACGAAGATGGGCTAAGAGGAAAGCCAAGTCAGCACGGTCTGATTCGGCTACCCCTAAAACGAAAACTCAGCAACGGGCCAGCAGTGGGTGTGCGCGCGTTAATGCGTGAGTATGCATGCGTGGTAACCCGCGGACGCAGTTGGCCGGGCGCCGCCCTCGGAGCCCCCCCCGCCCCACGCGCACTCACACACTTGGAAGCGCCTCCCCACGTCCCTCCCCTGCCCTTCTCTCGCTCTGCTCTTCTCTCGCTCACCACAAATAGTCGCCGACCCCGACCTTATAAAGGCTGCGCTCGCCGCCGCCCTCCTCACAGTCTGGGAGCGCGGCCTGCCGGAGAGGTGGTTCCCTCGTCCGCTCCTCAGTCACACTCCGCGCACTCACACACTTGGAAGCGCCTCCCCACGTCCCTCCCCTGCCCTTCTCTCGCTCTGCTCTTCTCTCGCTCACCACAAATAGTCGCCGACCGACTGCCAATCCGCCTCTCTCTCCCTCTCTCCACAACATGACTGACTGGGAAGCGGTGGCTCAGGCAGAGCAGCTCTGCGGGCGCGGGCAGGAGGAGCAGGAGGATTATTAAATAACGCAGCTCCACTCTGTACAACTGGAGTGGAGAGAAGGAGCCCAACATCCGCGAAGGGGAGGGAGGGCGGAGGAGGGGGACCGGGAAAGACAGTCCCGTGCCCCGAAGACATAAATCCCCGAGTGCCCGGGAGGAGCCTAACAAGCGGCGCGGAGCCCTCAAGGTAGTAACGCCCCCCGGCTGCCCCCGCACCCGGCGGGTCGCGCTTCGCGTCGCCGCGACACTGGGGTCGGCCCCGGGCGGACGCGGGGAGGACCGCCCAGCAGGTGACGGCGTCGTGCCCAGGCCGCCCCGGGGCAGCCCCCGCCCAGGCCCGGGGCGCCGGCCGTGGGCCAGGCGTGTGCTGCGCGGAGACCTGGCCTGGCGGGCGGGGTGGGAGGGAGGCGGAAGGGCTCGATCGCCGCGGGCCCGCGACTCTCCGCGCGCTGCGTGGCCTTTTCCTCCGCGCTCCTGAGCGCTCGGATGACCGCGGCAGCGGCCGCCACTCCGGGGCGGTGAGGAGCGCGGCCGGTCGAGGAGGCAAGAGTTGGAGCCGGCTCGGGGCCGCTCCCGTCCTTCGCCACTCTCGTCCCGCAGGTAGGGGCGCCCGGGGAGCGCTGGCCCCGGGGACTGCGGGTGCCCGGGCGGGGGCGGCGGCGGGGAGGGGGAAGGGGGCGGGGAGCCCGGGGCTCCTGCTGGAGCCGCAGTGCCCGAACCTGGACGGCCCCTCGCCTTCGCCCGCTGGTCCTCGGGCGCTGGCTTCCTGGATTGGAGGCGAGACCCTCCCCAGCCGCGGCAGGAACAGCAGCGACTTAGTGTGAACAAATTGCTTTGTGGTGGCGCATCCAGGGCTCCAGGGAGGGGTGTGTTTGTGTGTGTGTGTGTGTGTGTGTGTGTATGTGTGTTTTCGCGCTCTGGACTAATCAAAGCGTTGGTTCACCTGGAGAGAAAATGAGTCCCGAGCTGAAACCGCAGGTGTCCCCTCGCTCCGCCTCCCCCAGCTTCTGGCTTGGGTCCCGGGGACTCTTACACGCAGTGCTGTCAGGGGCAGGGTTGCGCGGTGGGGTGACGGAGGGATTTGTGAATGGTGCTGCTCTGCGCGTGGAGGCTGAGTCTTGCTGATGTAAAGGAGGAGGGATCCAGAGTGAGAAGAAAGGCTATTTATGGCAAAGAGTTGTGAAATTTCTCGGGGTTTCCTTCCGTGTTTCCTGAGCTTCTCTGTCTCCCTCTCCCCCTCCATCTCAATTCCTCTCTCCCATCTCTCCCCTCTTCTTTCTCAGAATTAGAAGCAATTCTGCTTTCCATTCCATCCCCACCCCCTTTCTCGTGGGACCTTGCATATGAGATGAAGGAAGTCAGAAAATCACTTGCCATTTTACAGGTAGAGAAAAAAACATGCTTTTTACAAGTTACTGATCCTTTGCCTTTTATGATTGTGTGTACTTGTCACGTCTCTTACCTCTTCAGGCCACCAATAATACTTACAGACAAAACATCTACTTGGTTTCAACAGCTTTCATTTCTAATATCTTTACAGTTGAATACCTTCCCACTGATATCGAACACATTTATACCCCTAAGAAAGGCTGTTAACATAATGTGCACACATTTTACCATAAAGCTGGTTTTATTCAAAGCCTAGGGGAAGAAAGAGAAGCAGACAGCTAGGTGCATTTGTATTGATTATTGCTGATTAGAATTGGAACTAGCTATTAAGAAAAGACCTAAAATACTATTAGTTGAGGCCACAACACAATTAGTTTGTTTCGGTTTCTTTTCCTGTTTGCTTTATAACAGACAAAAATTCCAGACATAACGTGAAGCTTAGAGAGGTGCCTTAGAACAGTGTATACCAACTGCGTTTTAGCAGATTTATGTTTGTTCTATGAAAAATCTGTGTTTTCATAGAACCGTTTACTGGGTTGTAACTGATATAATAGGATAGTATCCTTATTATTTTAAATTTGGATGTCTCTAAGCAGCTGTCAAGCACAATGTTTTTAAAACATTGAAATTCTATGTTGTAACAACCAGTTCAATAATTTCACGGAGAAGAAAGAGAACTGACCAACTTACTGTCAGAGTGATTTGTTTTTATTTAGTATTAATTAAGGAGCTCCTTTTTTGACCAAAACATGCCAACTGTTGATGTTTTCTTCCAGTGTGAAAGTAGCTTTCCTTAGCAGTTCTGTTTGTTTCGAAGACAAAGCAGAGTTAAGGATTTATTTTGATTTGATTAGATTTGTATTGGTTTAAAATACATTTTTAACACTGGAACATGTGCAGTTTTATATATTACATTAAAACATGAACTGAGCACCCTGGCTCTGAGGGTTGTTAACTTTCTTGAATCATTGCAATGTAGAAGTAATGGGGAATTTAAAAATGTACTTGATGGGCTATATTGTTGTAGTCATTAAATAGTCATACTTATGAATACTTTTTTTTGACACCATCAGAGGATCAGCAACTGTTTATTATTTTAATAATGCATTTTTATACTATAGAATGTTAATTTGCATTAAATCGTGAAGTTGAAAATGAAAAATATATATATATTATAGATGTTGGCTTCCTTATTGCATTTTATTATGCAACATAGTATTCATAATAAAGAGCCTGTCATGTGCAAGGTACTATCTAGGTATTGTGGAGGAATGTAAGACTTCTTTGCCTCCTGCCCTTCAGGAGCTTACTCTCCAGTTGGGGAAGGTCCGATGTTCATGCTTGAACAGTTAACAAACCTTGACAATAAGAGATTGCATGTCTAATGAAGACTGCAGGAGTTCAGAGCATGACAATAGCATTTCATACTGAATTTTGTCTGAAAAGGCTTCTGGGGTAGGTAAGACTTCCTTGGTTTTGATCTTAAAGGATAAATAGGATTAGTGATTTGTGGATAAGAATATAAAATGTAAAATGCAAGTCTCCTTGAATTGTCGAAAAGAGCAAAAGATGTGAGAAAGATAAGTTAGTTTGAAATAGCTTTTGATATTGCAAAGTGGTTGAATTTGTTGTGCGAAGTTGAAGGTGAGCCTGTTTTTGATGTACAACATTCTGTACACTGTGTTTTTGGAATTAGTTGTAAATATTTCAGTGCCTAAGAAGACAAATTTTTATTTTATCTTGCTTTTTAGTGAAAAATATACCCTCTATATGTTAGAAAAATACATAAGTAGAGAATGCTTACCCTAAATATTTAAATATACCACCTCACACTAAAGTGTTGAATTTTATGTTAATAACAAGGTGGAATGTACTTGAAGTGAGGTGTTTGAGTTATATCCTTAACCAACTCTCCTTAGATTTGGTTTAAAGAAAGGAGTATGATATATGTAAAAGAACAACTGTATAAATAATGAGCAGTCATTGAATGCTTAATATTTTATTCATATAAAATGTAGAACTCATTAACATTTTCCACCATATTTTGTTTTAAAGTTGTTAGAATACATCTGCATAATAGTTAAGCTATCCTTACATCATTTTCCATGAATACATAGCTATGATGTAGGACCTTTGGAAACAATTTTAGAATTGTAACAGTTTAAAGAATGTTTTAACTATCTTTCGGTAAATATATTGTATTACTAAAAAGATTGTGCTCTGTTTATAAGAGTGTGCGTTTTTAACTTAGTTATGTGTTCTTTGTATATATATTTGTTTTTATACAAACACAAAACTGTTTAGAATGCATTCCTCCATTTTAGGAACACAAGAGGTGAGGTCTGAATTGACATTGAGCCTGTCTAATCAACATGACACTCCAGAAGTATTTTTTGGTGATAGTAAGGAAATAATACAAATATTATATATGACTTTCAGTAAATAACAGAATAGAATTACTTTCAGCTTAGTTGAATTAAAAGACTTATATATTTTGTTGACAGTGAATAGATAAGTCATTACAGAAGTGAAAATCCTTTTAAATCACCAATTTCTATTCATGCAGGAATGGGATGATTTTCAATGTAGTCAAAGTACAGACCAATGTATCTGTTAATTGGTCTGTTTTGAGTTTGGTTTTGGACAGTATGTCACAGGTGTATCACTTTGATAATGTAATCTCTCCCACTGTATGACTGACAGCTTTTGCATGATTTCCCTACTGGATAATGACAAAATCTATTTGCTGTATATTAAGGACATATGCTTTTATCAGCAATATAATCTTCACTATGGGAGAGTGTCATTTAACAATAAAACATGAAGTCTGCAGTGGGAGAAGCAGAGAGAAAAGATGAGGAGATTGATGAAAGACACTAACAAAGGAAACATACTTCAATATGTAGCTTATGCTAAATATAATATAAAAATGTAAAGCTGACCAGTCTAAGCTGCAGTTGATACAGTACCAGGATATTGCTATCAGTTCTTACTTTAAATGACTGTATTTCATTTTAAGCTATTTTCATGGCTAAACAAAGTGGCAAAAAAAAAAAAAAGCGGTGGTTGAAACTGTTTACTAGGGTATGTGGTATTATATTACAATTAAAAGAAATTCTGCTTGGACCTTTGACAGATTAAGTTTGTTGTTTGGCCAAATTCCTGGCTCTATATTTAGACTAACTTAAAAATATACTTTTTGTTTATTAATTATTTACACTGTAATAACAATTTTAAAATTTTGATTAAACTTATTACAATTCTTGAACACTGTAGCTGCATTCTGATACTAAGTAAAATCTAAAGGTCATTTATAAGGAAACATTGTTATCTAATGGCAAATTCTTAACCTAGAGTAGTAGTTCTCAAAACGTGGTTCCCTGGGCAATAGCATGAGTAAACTTGTTAAAATGCAATTCCAGTAAATGATTGACTCAGAAACTCTGCATTGGGGTTTCCTGTGTGATTCTTGGGCTTCCCAGGTGGTGCTAGTTGTAAAGAACCCGCCTGCCAATCCTGGGGACACAAGAGACACAGGTTCAATCCCTTGGTTGGGACGATCCCCTGGAGAAGACAGCCTAACCCACTGCAGTATTCTTGCCTGGAGAATCCCATGGACAGAGGAGCCTGGCAGGCTGTGGTCCATAGTGTCTCAAAGTGTCGGACATGAGTGAAGTGACTAAGCATGCACACACGTGTGATTCTTACACACTCTAAAGTTTGAGAATCACTAACCTAGAGTATTTTATAGTAAAATTAGAAGGCCATGTCTTCTGCCTGTTTTGTATCTAAATACTT